ATTGTGTAAAATTAAATTAAGGCTCACTCTTATTTTGAAAGTAACTTGTCAAAAAAATGAAAAATAAAGAGAATCACTGATTAACTAAAAGGAACAGAGAAATGGTTCAAAAATATCACTTATCCTGATGAGATAACAATATCTCACAACATATGGAAAATTGATGAACTTTTGGTGAGACCATGATGAACACCTTTGTGAATTTGTATCAGATCTAAAAATAGACCAAGTATTTATTTTTAGATGCCGACTAATTTGTAAATGCAACAAAAACAAGACAGGATTATCTCCCAAAATTGATTATTAAAATATCTTCTTAAGTACAGTACTAATAATACCTAGAGGTTACATTTTTAGGTATTATATATATCAAGATAAATTAAAAATAGTTTATCAGAAAATTAACCTAAAATACATTTATAGGTAATAAACTCTGTCCATGGGATTTTCCCAGCAAGAATACTGGAGTGGGTTGCCAGGCCCTCCTCCAGGGGATTTTCCTGACCCAGGGATCAAACCCACATCTCCTGCATCGCAGATAGATTCTTTATCACTGAGCTACCAGGGAAGCCCTAATACTTCTTTTACCTATATATAAATAATGCAAGCAGAAGATGTCAAAATGACTCATTATCTACTCTAACTTACACCAACCGTGAGCTTCTCTTCAGTTACACAATGACATGCTTTGGTTCCTGACTTTGAATGGTTAGGAAAGTCAGGAAATGTAGCTCTGTAGATATGATCAATACCAACATGCAGCATATCACACAGGGTGAAATGAAGCAGGGTTTACCCAAAATAAAATTTCTTGACTCATCTGCATTCAAATCTCAAATATCTCCATATTTCTTTCCAAACTAAGAAAAAGAGCTACAATTAAAATTTCATTCATTGTTTTCCTATCGTTCAGAAGTGAAACATAAAATATGTCCAAAGTGCAAGTCTCTCCTTATATATTACATATAATACATATTAGGAGAAAGCCACTCTATAGTTACAGAGAGATAATTAAATTAACTCACAACTATATTCCTTAAAAATATATCCAACAAATACCCCATGCTTATTTCTAGTAGAAAAAGTAATGAGAGTCCTTCGTTCGTTCTCACAGGGACAGACGCAGATTTTGTAAGGCCAAAAGTATATATATAATTTTGCCAATCTTCTTCAAGAAAAGTAACACAAAATTCCTAATGCAAAATGGGATACAGGACCCAAACAAAGGCATGTCTAAGTGCCAGGCACTGAACCTTACATTTCATTAGCTTTTAGGGATATCTGTGTACAGCAGTTAATTTTTACAAACTTCTCTGACTATATTGCATAATGTCAGACCAGAATATTGCTACCTCCAATCACACACTACCTTTCATTTCCTGCTACCCTCTACCAGTTTCTATCTCTTCATAACCTATTCCTTGACTGTAAGAAATCAGCTACAGGTCAAAGGTATGCCCTTTCTAAGTTGGCATTACATACATCTCAAATACTAGAGATAATGAGCTTCCTGAAGACTGATTCAGTTCAACTTAGAATTCTATTGAGTTATGTAATTATACTCATGTTAACCATCTGTTTATGTATCAAAAAGCAGTGGGGAAACAATTGTACCAGACACACAAAACAATCTAGAAACTTGCTTCAACGTATATTATCTTAGTGTTAGAGAAACCACCATGAGCTGCTAATGTAAGCGACCACTCTGCCCTAATTCTGCACCTCACAAGTGGGATAGATACAAGTACGTATGCAAATGTGTATGTACACACATCTAATGTTTATGTTTGGCCATCTTTTCTAAGACAAATCTTTAATCTCCTAATGAAAGACAAGAAGGGAGTTTACTTCTAGCTGACCAAGACACCATTCATAATGGTCAGTTTTCTTCATTACACAGAAGAAAAAATTCTCAGAAAAATAATCCAATATTTTTTAAAGGGGGTCAAAAATTTTTACTGAAATATTCATAATTGTGTGAGGAGAGTCATTCCATTTCATCTATCAGACTGCTTGAGCTTTGGAAGTCATTACTAGATCTATTTAATTCATAATTAAACACTTGAGAATCTATGTACCAAAAAAGCAGAACATTTGAAAATGTTATATTAGTTGTTGTAAACTATACTGTCTACTTATACTTTTTGGGTTATAATAAACTGATAAAATGTATCTAAACATTTGAAAATGTACATTGGTACAAATATATCATATGCAAAAGTTTTATATATAAAAAATATATGAGAAAAAATTTTCCTAAAGATATGAGAAAAAATATTTAGTATAAAAATATATATATACAAAAAAGTGTGTAGGAGAGTTTTCAAACTAGAATCTGCTTGACATAAAACCATTCCAAATAAATGTGAATATTAAGTGAATGATTACAGAAGGCCTGTGTCCTGTCATGATGTATCTTAAGAATAAGTAGAAATACAAATTAATCATCACTTTAAAAAAATTGCTAACTGACTTTCCATCTGATTAAAATGGCATTACAATTAGCAACTCAACAATGATAAAATCATTTTTGAAAATGATGAAAATAATGTGCAATCTAGTCAATTTGTATAATGATATATTAAAAAGAGAAAATTAAGTTGCTCAGTTGTGTCCAACTCTTTGTGACACCATGGACGGTAGCCTACCAGGCTCCTCCATCCATGGGATTTTCCAGGCAAGAGTACTGGAGTGGGTTGCCATTTCCTTCTCCAGAGGATCTTCCCAACCCAGGGATCGAACCTGGGTCTCCCGCATTATAGGCAGATGCTTTACCATCTGAGCCACCAGGGAAGTCCTTTAAAAGAGAAACTAGAACCAAAACTAAACAAAAAATAAAATGAGGAGACCTATCTGTCACTGTTGATATAAGTACAGTAACCTCAGGAATAATCCAGAAGTATACAAACTTCTCCAGGATGCTTCACCATTATTTTTTTCCCATTAGGAAAAAAAAAAAAAATTCCAGAAGAGTTTGCTGGTTTAGATTATATGGGCCTAGACTTTAAAAAATAGTATACAAGAAATTTGTTTTTACTTTTAGCAAATATTTAGTGGGAAGAGATGTAGACAAATGGATATAAGAAGTATAAATTTCATATCCAATTTTAAGAACTCATGGTAAGAGAAAAGGAAGGAATTTTTATAAATTCATCTAAAGGCCCAAACACTAGGTTTGGGCAAAAAAATTTCAATCTCAGATATACATTAAATTGAAATTTAATTAATTAAATTTTGAAATTGAAATGGATGAACTGAAAGTTAATGAATTGTAATTGTTTCAAATTATTATCAACTGCCTATGAACTCGATATCTGTTACTAATTTTAATCAGTATAATTTTTCCAAAAGTTCTTTTTTTCAAATGGGCAAAAATTAAAGAATGAAAAATATTCTGACCATGACTATTCAATCCAAGACTTAAGTAAGAGTTAAGAAATTCCATTATATTATTCTTATTTGAAAATTCCACAATGATTTCTCAACCTAGCATAATAATACCTGTCTGAATATATACATTGCATGCAGTTTCTTTCCGTGAACTTGTTATTACTCATCTCTTTCACAAGTTGAATGATAATTAAGGTGAAGAGATTACTGAGATTACTGACCAATCCTAAATACAGAAATGGAAAATTTTTTTAGAAACATCAGTTGTAAATCTTATTTAGCAGTGACTTTTCTTCCTTAGCATGAGTGCATGCTCTCACGTCCAACCCTTTGAGACCCCATGGACTGTAGCCTGCCAGGCTCCTCTGTGTGGGATTTCCCAGGCAAGACTACTGGAGTGGGTTTCTGTTTCCTTCTTCAGGAGATCTTCCCAACCCAGGGACTGAACCCGAGCCTCCTGCATATGTCTTTTCCTAATTGATCTGGACAGTTTTGCCCAAAGAGAAAAGGTACAAACTCAAAATTCATCACCATGTAAAAACAGCTATGAAATTAAAATATTATTCAGACTCACTAACAATGTATATAGAACTATAGATCTGGGCAATATATTTTGGACATTTTCTCTCTTGGTGATTTCTGTCTTCTGTTGATATTGTTAATTTGAAGATTTAAAAGGCACATATTTAGATACATTTATCAAAGAGTAAATTATTAGAGAAACACATAACTGTGCTTAAGAGAATTTAATACCAAACTAACTATTGCTTTACTCTAAGGAAGGTGCTACATCTTCTCCTGATCAATTGGCTAACTGGCTAATTAGGCTACCATGAAAACACAATGGCCTGTATCCATGGAGCTTCCTGATAATGAATGAATAAAAAAATCCTAACATGATATTCTCAAGGATATTTTTTTGCTTAAACATAATTCCTGGATTTGCCTCCTAAACAATAACCCCTAGAAGCTCTTCTTTAATGGATTCATTAAAATTAGGCATACCCGCTCTGTTCTTGTTCAAAATGCTCTGGATATAATCCTTTAAAACATGAATGATATCTAAGTTGGTATCTATGGGAAGCAATGCTATGCCTATGTAAAATAAATTTCTTTCCACTGTCTATAACGATGATACACACTTTTCTTTACCCAAAAGAGTAGAAAACAATTTTCATAGTACAGTCATCTACAGTATGTAAAAATTGTTTTTACAAAACCTCTATATGCAGAAAACATCTCAGTCTTCAATTTGAAGGTTCTTAGCCATAAGATATCTTACAGACAAAGATGACTATAGTAATTGTACATTCTATAGTCTTTTTCCCTAACCTCAACAAGTAGGTATAGGGAACTCAATGATCATATGAACTTATGGTATATCTGCATATCAGCTTTCTAGAACTACATGGTACAATAACTAAACTTCTTAGTAACCACTTTGAAAACACTGGAAAATTAAATAGAAATAACCGATTCCTTTAGACGATCCCCAAAGTTGCAATCCTCTGGATTTTCATAAAATGGAGTGAAGATCCATTTTTTTTTGTTTCAGCCTTTGGGCAGAAACAAAGCCAAGGATTTAACGCCAAGATTTCAAATGCATTAATTCATAATTTATGACAATCTTCTTCTGGCACAACTTCCAGTATTATTTGTAATGTTCTGGTTATAATGTCTACAAAGAAATAAAAAGAGAAATTTAAAATGCACAGATTTCACAATGAATAAAAACAACAAAATGCAAGTTATTTGCAAGCCACCTATTTCACAGAGAACTTTCAAGAAATATTTATTTTGTTAGAATCCTATCATGCTCAATTAATTTACTTGTCACCTCTGTAACTTCCTATGATGGCTTCTCAGCAAGGGTACATTAGTATTTTGTGTTCAGATAAAGACTTTTATTCATGAACCAGGAGGCTAAAAATCTTTTGAGACAATAGGACCAAGGTATAAATAGATGTTCAAAACTACACTTCATCTTGAGTCTAAAATTGGTTTGTTGTTTTTGCACCTATGAGAGTACATCCAATTCTGCAGCAAAATCAGAAGAATCAGAATATAATTTCCAGTCTCAACTTGTAGTATATTATTGAGCAAAACATATTATCTCCTAGGTAGGGCCTCATTTGCTTCATCAATAGAATGAGGGACCTGGGAATGACATCAGCAAGACAGAAGGCAGGAATGCTTATCTTCTCCCCTTAAACCAAGCAAACAAAAAAGGAAAACCAAGAACAATAAACAGCTACAAATGGAAGAAAACAGCTCAGGCAAAGCTCTAGACAATACAAAAGCAGTAGCAAAAAAACATGGCGAGCTCAAAAATCAAGGATGGCCACATGGGAAAGTAAGGGAAGCAGTTTGCTGCCATTGTCCCACCTCCCTGGAGGGAACTGCTGGGCACCGGAAGGAATCCTTTCAGAGGAAAGTCACCACATGAGGAGGAGAGCAGAAGGATCACAGCAAGCCTCACCATTGTGGGTATTAGCCGCTTTTGGTACACGGGTCTCTCAGTCTTCAGCAATGCTGACCCTAGCTGAGGGAGCAATCTGTAGAATCAAGGCTCTGGACTCTGGATCTACTCCCAGAGGCTGGAGCTGTTGCCGAGGCGAGACCTGCCCTCAAGGGTCCCAGCTGTTGCTGCGCCCCACTCTCAGATTGGTACCACAGCACACCTCCCCCTCTGAGATCAGAGCCGCCACTCTTCTTTGCCCACCCCAGTCCCAGGCCTTGCTCCACCATTACCAAAGCAACCCTCCTGGCCTGAGCCCTGCCTTGGCAGGTAGTGGGGTTAAGGCTTAGATCTATCATTGCTGGGACTAGGCTGCCTGTACCCTGAGCTTCACGCCTATCCCAGGTTGAGGCTCTTGAACCATCACTTGCCAGGGGGGCTACCCATCAGGTTTCAGGTCAGAGCTCTGACCCATCAAGACTGGGACCAGGCTACCCCTGCCCTGAACCGCCCATCCCAGGCTGAGGCTCGGAACCGTCACTGCCAGGGCCTTGCTACCCCTGCCCTGTCCCCGCTTGCCACTCCAGGGAACTGGCTCCCTGGAGTCTCAACACATAGCTCTAAGAAACAACTCCTGGGGTTGTGCTACTGCTCTCCTGTGAGTGTTCCGCATGGTGGGGAGGGGTGGGGGCAGACTGAGGCTTTAGCTTACCATCCCAGGGCTGTGCCACTACTGCATCCTGCCTTCCGAGCCCAAGCCACTAGTGCACCCTGCCATCCCAGGGCCCTTGTCACCGCCATATTCCCTCCCCTCATCACAAGTCACAGCAGAGAGCCCGAGAAACCCAAGTACCAGTCGCATAGGCTGGTGCGCGTGTCGACACCCTAGACGCCTGTGCCCTGCCCACAGCAGCTGGGCCTGTGCTCCAGGGCCTGGCACTCTCGTGGCGCCACATGCGCCTGGTCCTACGACCCAGTTCCAACACAGCCTGAGTGTCCGCACATCAGGCCAGGCACCAAGAGGGGTCTCCTCAACTAGACCTCTCCCACAGGCAGAGAGCAACCTCAGACTCTGAAGGTGCTAACAGCCCCGTCTGCCGCCTGTCTTCTGTCCTCAGGCATCAGAGACCCCCCTGTTCTGGCCAAGGTCAGCCAGTGGAGCAGCACGGAGTCCGAATCACTGTGCCTCCTCAGGAACCAAAGACCCTGCACCTCACCCAGCAAGTCCTCTCATCGCTGCCTCCGGGTGAAAGGCTCTCCCTACTGAAGGCAGTCTGAAAAGGCCAGAAGAGGTGACTTCACCTCAAAGGCACAAACATCAGCACAAACCCATCAAAAATATGAAGGAAATATGACACCACCAAAATAATGCAACACTACTCTAGCAACTGACCCCAAGGAAATGGAGGTCTGCGACCAAACTGAAAATAATGATTTGAAAGAAGCCGAGTGATATATGAGAGAACACAGACACGTCAGTGAACTCAGGAATAGTACATGAAGAGAATGAGGAATTCAACAAACAGAAATCATTTAAAAATCAAGAAATTCTGGAGAATAAAATACATGAAATGAAAAATGTGACAGCTTCAACATGTAGGCTCAGAAGAGTCTGTGGACTTCAAGACAGGTCTCTTGGTATTATCCAGTCAGAGGAGAATAAAGAAATTAAAATAAAAAAGAAGCAAGTCTATATGAACTGTGGAACATGATCTAAAGAAAGAATATCCATATTTTGGGAATCCCAGAAGAAGAGAAGGAGAAAGATGCATAAAATTTATTTAAAAATATAATGAGGAAAACTTTCAAATGTGGGAAGAGATATGGCCATATTGGTATGAGAAGTTCAAAGATTCCCAAACAGATTCAACCAAAGAGATCTTTACTGAGATGAATTATAGTGAAGCTCTCAAAAATCAAGGACACAAAGAAAATCTGGAAAGCAGCAAGATAAGAAAGATCATCACATATGAAGGGATCTTGATATGACTATCAGCAAATTTATCAGCAGAAATCTTACAGAGATTGGGATTGGGATCCCAGGAGAGCATGGGATTATATATCCAAAATGCTCAGAAAAAAAAACAAAACCTACCACCACGAATACTTTAGGCAGAAAAGCTATCATGTAGAAATGAAGGAGAGATAAAGGCTTTCCCAGACTAAGAAAAGCTGAGGGAATTTGTAGCCATCAGACATGCCCTATAAGAAATCCTAAAAGGAGTTCTTTAAGCTGAAACAAAAATACACAAATCAATAACATGAAAATATATGAAAGTATGAAGAAGAGGGAACACCTCCAAAATCATTTTATGAAGTCAGCATTGCCATGATGGGCTTCCCTGATGGTTCACTGGTAAAGAATGTGTCTACAATGTGAGAGATGCAGGTTTGAACTCTGGGTCGGGAAGATCCCTTGGAGGAGAAAATGGCAGCTCATTCCAGCATTCTTCCTGAAGAATTACATGTACGGAGGATCCTGGAGAGCTACAGTCCAAAGGATTGAAAAGAGACGGACACAACTGAGTGACTGAGTACAATTACCCTGAAACTAAGTACAAAGACACTGAAGAAAAGAACATTACAGACAAATATTTCTGGTGAATACAGATGTGAAACTTCTCAACAAAATATTAACGATCCAAATTCAGCAACACATTAAATGGATCATTCACCAAGATCAAGGGAGATTTATCTCTGGAATGCAAGCATGAAATCAAAATAGTAAAGAAAGTTCTAGCCAGAGCAATTAGGCAGAAAAAGAAATAAAAGGTATCCATGTCAAAAATGAAGAAATAAAATAATCTCTGTTCACAGACAACATGATCTTATATATAGGAAACCCCAAAGACCAGTAAAAAGTTGTTGGAACTAATAAATGAATTGCAGTAAAATTGCTGGATATAATACCGACACACAGAAATCAGCTGCATTTCTATATTAACAATGAATTATCTGAAAGAGAAATTAGAAAGCAATCTGCTGACTAGAGTATCAAAAATTAAAACACCTAGGAGTAGCTAAAACCAAGGAGGTTAAAGATCTGTACACTAAAAACTACAAGGCTAATGAAAGAAATTGAAGAAGACAAACCAATGGAAAGATATCCCATTTCTAGGTTGAAAGAAGTCATATTGGGAAAATGTCCACATAAACCAAAGTGATCTAAAGATTCATTGCAATCCCAATCACAATTCCGCTGATATTTTTCACAGAAATAGAAAAAAAAAAAAAAACTATCCTAAAATTTGCTTAGAACCACAAAGTAATCCTAAAAGATAAGGACAGAGCTGGAGGCATTTCAATACTTGATTATATATCAAGCTATATTATGAACAGAGCAATCAAAAGAGTATGGTGTTGTCATAAAAACAGGCCTACAGATCAGTGAAACAGAATGAAGAGTCCATACATATATTCCCATGTATACAGCCAACTAATTTTTGACAAGAATGCCAAGAACACACCATAGAGAGTGGACAGTTTCTTCAATAAATGTATTTGGGAAAACTATATATACACACCAAAAAATATATATAAATAAGTAATATGAAACTTAACTACACCTAATACCACTCATAAAGATTAACTTAAAATAGATCCAAGATTTAAACCTAAGATCTGAAAACATAAAACTCCTAAAAGAAAACATAGGGGAAAAGATCCTTGATTATTGGTCTAGGCAATGATTTCTTGGATAAGTTACCAGAAACACAGGCAACAAAAACCTAAATAAATAAATGTGATGGCATTAAACTAGAGTTTTTGCAGAGTAAAGATGATGATCAATAAATTGAAAAAAAAAAAATCTACAGAATGGGAGAAAATATTTGCAAGCTATAACATCTGATAAGTGAGTACTCTCCAAAATAAGAAAGGACTCACAACTCAATAGCAAAAAGGAAAATAATTCAATTTAAAAATTAGAAAAGGACCTGAATAGATATTTTTCCAAAGAAGGTATGCAAATGCAAAGCTATTCAACAGCAGTAATCATCACGGAAATGAAACTCAGAACCATGTAAGAGAACACCTTCACCTTAGCACGAGAAAGGTTTTTTACCAAAAAGACAAGAGATAATAAATGATGAGGACATGGAGGAAAAGAAACTTTTATACACTGTTTATAGGAATCTAAATCAATGTGGAACTGTAAAGGGATGTAAACCAATGTGGAAAACAGAATAGTGGTTCCTAAAAAATATTAAAAATTGAACTAC